ATAACCCTCATACCAAAACCAGGGAAGGACACCACTAAGAAAAAAAATTATAGACCAATATCCCGCATGATCATTTGTTGTTGTTATTATTACATGCCATCGAGTCAGTACCAACCCATAGTGAACTTATGCACAGCAGAACAAAACACTGCCCGATCTTGTTGCCACGCTTGAGTCCATCGATGCTACCAATGGGCCAATTCATCTCGTTGGGGGTCTTCCACTTTTTCTCTGACTCTCTACCTTACCAAACATGATATCATTCTCCAGTGACTGGTCCCTCCTGACAATATGTCCAAGTATGAGAGACAAAGTTTGGCCATCTTGGCCTCCAAGGAGTACTCTGGCTGCACTTCTTCCAAAACAGATCTATCTGTTCTTTTGGCAGCCCATGGTACTTTCAATATTCACCTCCAACACCATAACTCAAAAGCATCAATTCTTCTATGGCCACCACAGTATGACAAGCTGACAGATGAGTGGTGCATCTCATGATCATAGATGCAAAAATTCTCAACAAAATCCTATCCTACAGAATCCAGCAGCACATAAAAAAATAATACATCATGGTCAAGTGGGATTCATATCAGGGATGCAAAGATGGTTCAACATTAGAAAAACAATCAACGGAACCCACCATATAAATAAGAAAAAAAAAGAAAAGAAGCACATGATCATATAGATTGATGCAGAAAAGGCATTTGACAAAATCCAACATCCATTCCTGATAAAAACACTTAACAAAGTAGAATTGAACATAATTAAGAGCATATATAGAAAACCAACAGCCTACATTACTCTCCATGGAGAGAACTGAAAACCTTCCCTCTGTGAGCAGGAACCAGACAAGGATGCTCTTTGTTGCCACTCCTATTCAATATTGTTTTGGAAGTCTTAGCCAGAGCTACATGGCAAGACAGGGAAATTAAAGACATCCAAATTGGCAAAGAGGAAGTAAAACTCTATTTGCTGATGATATGAGCATATACATAGAAAACTCCAAAGACTCAGTAAAAAAGCTATTAAAACTTATTTAAAGATTCAGCAAAGTGGCAGTGCATAAGATCAATATTCAAAATTCAGTTGGATTTCTGTATGGTAACAATGCCTGCACTGAAAAGGACATTAAGAAAGTCATACCATTTACAATAACTGTTCAAATGAGGAAATACTTAGGAATAAATATAACCAAAGAAACAAAGGTCCTATACAAAGAACACGACAAAACACTACTACAAGAAACCAAAAGAGACCTACAAAAATGAGAGAATGTACCATGCTCATGGACAGGAAGACTTAACATTGTGAACATGTCAATACTGCCCAAAGTACACATATAATGCAATCCCAACTCAGATTCCAATGACATTCTTCAAAAGGATGGAAAAAACTATTACAAATGATATATGGAAAGGAAAGAGACCCAGGATAAGCAAAGCACTGCTTAAGAAGAATAAGGTTGAAAACTTCTAACTTCCTGATTTCAAAATTTATTACATGGCTACAGGGATCAAAACAGATTGGTACTAGTACAATAAAAGATATATTGATAAATGGAACAGAATCAAGAATCCAGAAATTAACCCATCCACATACAGCTAACTGAATTTCAACAAAGTGCCTAAATATATCACATGGGGAGGTGATAATCTCTTCTACTGGCAGAAATGGAAAGTGATATGCAAAAGATTGAAACAAGACCTTCACCTCACACACACCTTATACAAAAACCAACTCAGCATGGATTAAAGACCTAAATGTGAATCCCAGAATTACGAAGGTCATCAACGAAAAAATTGAGACAAATGTGAGGGCACTAATTCAGGGAATTCACAGACTACAAAACATTTTGAAAACTACACAAACAAAAGTAGACAAAATAGATGAGTGGGACATACTAAAAATTATAAACTTATGTGCATCAAAAGACTTCACCAGAAGAGTAAAAAGGGAACCCATAGAATGGGAAAAAATCTGTCACAATGACACATCAGACAAGGGACTTCTTTCTAAAATGTATAGGAAACTACAACACCTCTACAAGAAAAAGACAAATAACCCAATTAAAAAATGGGCATAGGACATGAACAGACACTTCACCAAGGAGATCCAGACAGCCTACAAACATATGAAGAAATGTTCATGATCACTAGCCATTTGTTGTTGTTGTTGTTAGGTGCCATCGAGTCGGTATCGACCCACAGCGACCTTATGCACAGCAGAACGAAACACTGCCCAATCCTGGCCCAACCTCACTATTGTTGCCACGCTTGAGCCCACTGATGCTGCCACTTTGCCAATCCATGTCACTAGGGGTCTTCCTCTTCTTTTCTGACCCTCCACTTTGTCAAACATGATACTCTTCTCCAGCGACTGATCTCTCCTGACAATATGTCTGAAGTATGAGATACAAAGTTTGACCATCTTGGCCTCCAAGAAGCACTCTGGCTGCACTTCTTCCAACACAGATCTGTTTATTCTTTTGGCAGCCCATGGCACTTTCAATATTTTCCTCTAACACCATCACTCAAATGCATCAATTCTTCTATGGTCTTCCTTATTCACTGTCCAGCTTTCACATGTATATGAGGTTATTGAAAATATCATGGCTTGGGTCAGGCACACCTTAGTCCTTGTCAAGTTGACATCTTTGCTCTTCATGACATCTTTGCTCTTCACTGGCCATTGTTGTTGTTGTTGTTGTTATGTGCCGTGGAGTCGGAACCGACTCATAGCGACCCTGTAGAGAGATGCAAATCAAAACAAAAACGACATACCATCTCACACCAGCAATAACAGCAAAGATCAGAAAA